AAAAAAAGCAAATCCTTAATGGCAACGCAGTGTTTACCTCGGCACGGCCTACTCCAAACTCGACGTTGTCTTCAAAAACTTTTCGATCCTTGCCGCACTTTTTACAGGACTCGGTCATGGAAGGTGAAAGGTCTTGTTCGGTCATCAGTGGCAGTTTACAGATGCATTCACCACCATATCGTCGTCTGATCAGAACACCTAAGAAACAATGAGTTAAGCAAATTTCAGGTGTTTTCGCATGATGGAATGATCACATATTTTAGGAACGGGACCTATTAGCTTTTTTTATTGTTCAAATCCAAACTTCCAGCTGATTAGAGTGGCACACTTTTCTCCGACTTGAATGCAGTGTCTTACATCAGTGTATGGCAAAAGAGGAAAGAAGGTTTTCCTAGGTTAATCCTTTTTCCCAACTAGGAGAGGAAACTTCCAATGATCAGCTCTTTTCTATCATTATATTATTAACAGCCTACAACAGCACAGAGCAATGACAAAGGATATTCTTATCAGGCATGACTTCTCCTTCTATTTTCGGACTAGCGGGTGGATTTCAAGCATGCCTAATACGACAGAAAAATACAAAATTAAACAATATAGATGTGCTATGAACATCACTTACTAGGCTCCGTTCTGGCTTTGACATAATCAGTTATATCGAGATATGCTTCGTCCAATGATCCCATCGACAGATCCTCGTCATACTCTGCAAAAATCGCCCGGAAGACCTGAAACGATCGTTTGCTTGGTAAGCTTGAACACTATTTACGATAGAAAATTATAAGACCAGACTAACAATTGACCCAAGCATTACGAATGGATGAAAAGCTATAACAATGGAGAAAGACTTCTTGTCACCTTTATAATTTGTGCATCGAACTCTATTAGATTAACAGGGCTCTGGATTAGATCGCAATTCTGGTGGGGAAAACAAGTAATGACAGCCGCTTTGGAGCAGAACAAAAGTTCCGCGAGCCATTGTACAGGACGGAGACGTAAACTTATCATTCGGGTGCACTTGCGATCTTGAATAGAAGTGAAACGCGTGTCTCGAATCTCAAGGTAAAGGAAAGGTACAGCATTCAACGGTTCATTCACTCCTTCTCTTCAGAAAAAACAACATTCTACAAGAAAAGTTGATAGGAGATAACCTAGTGTATAATGTTTTTGTTTCGAGTTAGTGGACTCACATGATTTTCTTTCTTGTACTTGCTGAAATTGCCGTGAACCAGCTTGAGTTGAGGACAGAGCTTCTTTGCAATGAAGCCCGGCATGGCTGCTCTTACACCAAATCGACGAGCAAGATAATTTGATGTACTCTGAAGAATAAGCTTTTAGAGAGTTTTTAATGGCACTCACTGTGCTCAGGTTCCAATAGGAGTGATAATCAGGTTTCGAGGGTTGGCTTCGAGGATTTTGCAGCCGGAACAGCGCATCCCAACGAGTCACCCTTTTCTATCATTTCTTAATTGAGCACAAAAATTCAAATTCCAAAAAATAAAGTTGTCGCACGAAACAAAAAAAGAAAGAGCAAGTTGAAAAGCTATTACAATTGAGAATAAGCTAACCAGGGAAGGATCCCAAGTCGAAGTGGCCATTTGAAATGAGACCTACACTGCTAGACTGTTTTTGAATGCTGAGTTCAAATCTGCTTTCCAAATTTGCCGAGCGTTTCTCTGAACGGAGTTAT